CGCGCTGCGGGATCTGCTGCTGCATCTCGCTGCTCCCCTGCTCCAGGCGGGCCGCCTTGGCCTGCAGGGCCTCGTGGGCGGCCTCGAAACTGCTTCTTGTCTTCTTGAGGTCCTGGCTGAGGGCAGCCAGATCCTCCTGCCGCTGCTGGATCTCGCTGCGGATGTCGCAGTAGAACCGGGAGTGCTGGCTGTCGAGCAGCGCGCACGAGCAGCACAGTGGCTTCTCGCAGCGCCGACAGTAGATGCTGTGAGGAAAGAGAGCTCTGTTGCAGGTCAGTGCGTGGTCCTCCCTCCCCTTCCCAGCACTTTTGAGGCACCAAAAAGAGTAGATCTGCTGCATGGGGTGCAATCCTCCCTGTGAGGCTGAAGGGGAGGCTCAGCTACCTCTAATGAGAGGGGTAACTGAGGCACGACTTGGGGGAATAGTGCCCCCAGCCATTGGTGGTATCATGTAGGCGCAAAGCTGGGCATCAGCCTGATTATTTAACCCAGGGCCATGGTTATTTAACAAGGACTACAGCCCATTCACCTCCCCAGCACCCCCATCTCCTGCCCAAGCTCACAGCCCCTCTCCTAAGGCAGGATGCTCTTGCCCTGCAGCTCCAGCCAGGCGGTGCCAGAGCTGGTCCTGCAGCAAAGAGCTCACCTTGGACCAGGCTGGAAACACCCATGCTTCCCTATCCCACTCCTGCGACCAGCCCTTCCCCTGTCCTCTAGCAAAGAAGCAGGTGGCGAATCATAGAATCATTATGGTTGGGAAAGACCTTCAAGATCATCAAGTCCAACTGTAAACCCATCACCACCACACCTGCTAAACCATGTCCCCAAGTGCCTCATCTGTACATTTCTTGAGTGAAGGTGCTGCTCTGACCTGGTGACATGGCCCTGGTTGTTGTGACCAGGGCTGGAGCAGAAGAGGCTGCAGGATCTCCTGGTGCTCTCCAGGAACTGATGCTCCGACTCTGCCCGCAGGTCATCCAACTTCCTGGCCTCATGGCTCCTCTTCTTGAAGAACCACTGGTGGGCCTCAAAGCAGGAGAGACACAGGAACTCCTCGCACTCGGAGCACCACACGGCTGCCGCCTCCTTCTGGCACCGGCAGCAGCCCAAGCCGCCTTTGCTGCGGATCTTCTTGTAGATGTTGAGCCTGGCCTGCAAGCTGGAGAAGAGGAGGTTGTCCCGGTCGGGGATGCCGCTGGCCTCCGGGATGGCGGTCCGGCACATAGGGCACTGCCCGATGGGCTTGTTGTTGCTGAGGCAGTTGAGGCACAAGGTGTGGAGGCAGGTGAGCAGCTTGAGGTTGGGCGATTCATTCTTGCAGCCCACGCACCAGAATTCCTTCTCCAGCGCTGACGGAGGCGGGCAAAGCAAGCTCCCCTCATCGTGGCTCGAGTCCATGGTGGCCTCGGCTTCTGCTTGTCCTAAGGTGCAGGAAGAGGGGTCCTGTTAGCAGGAGGTGCTGGGTGCTGCCTCGAGGGACACCCTCTGCTCTCTAGTAGGGCTGTGCTCCTGCCGCCCCGTGCAGCATGGGGACAGTTTGCCCCCTGCCTGCCATCCGCGAGCCCTGTGCCATCCTCCCCAAGCGTGCCCATCCCCAGGCTCTCTCCCTTTCTGACTTTCAAAGCTGGGAATGGGAGAAGAGGGGAAGTGTCTGCAAGAGCCTTCAGTTCCTTTTCCCGATGCCTTTATCACACACTCCCCCCGCCACCCCCCGTCCCATACAGCGGCTTTGGCAGCCGAACTGTGCCTGTCA